CACATTGTCATTTTTTTAAAAAGAATTTTCAGGGGCGCCTGGGTGGCGCAGTCGGTTAAGCGTCTGACTTCAGCCAGGTCACGATCTCGCGGTCCGTGAGTTCCAGCCCCGCGTCGGGCTCTGGGCTGATGGCTCGGAGCCTGGAGCCTGTTTCTGATTCTGTGTCTCCCTCTCTCTCTGCCCCTCCCCCGTTCATGCTCTGTCTCTCTCTGTCCCAAAAATAAATAAACGTTGAAAAAAAAATTTAAAAAAATAAAAAGAATTTTCATATTTGGAAAAACCTCTAAGTTTGTAAATGTGTGAGTTGTAATATTTCAGGGCAGTTCCTTTTCTTTTCCACTGATTCATTCTAAATATTCTTAGAACTGATGTCACTTGTTAACCAATCATCACCCCTGTAATGGCACATCATCCTCATCAATGTGAGTAGTTCAGATGAGAACAGCAAGAATTATAAATGTTAATTCCATCGTGTGTTTGGTCCGCTCTACTCCATCATTGCATAATCAGACCCTGCAAAGAGTGTGTTCTTGCTTCCATCTGACACTGTTCTTCTGACGTCTTTGCTTCTAGTATTCTCTGAAATCCGTGTTTACGGTTTGCTTTCTGATGTCAGAAAGTTTTCTATTGATCTTAATTGCTTACCTTTTCCCCTTTAGTTTACATTTCATGAATTTTATATATTTTTTTCTCTCAGTTCTTTAATACATAAATACATTTAGAAATGATAAACGACGGTGCCCTTCATACATGAACAACTCAGGAGTCTGGACTTTTCTAACTTTCATTGAAAATATTATAGAACATATTTCCAAACAGCAATTAAAATTATAATCAAGCTTTATCAAGTATACTACCTAGCAAAGAAAAAGACCCTAAGGTATATTTTATAATCCTCTATTTATAATCCTTGATTTCGTTCCCAACAGGAGAGGATGCTGGTTTGACAAGACATGCAAGAACTCAGTCCCCTGCTTACAATTTTGCATGTGTGCGGATCTGAAGAATTTTCCTAGATTCACTTCTGAGGCCATACATTTCAAACCTTTCTCCACCATCCACATTGGTCTGGTGCCGGGCAGTGTGAAAATGTTCATTTCTCAGTACAAAGAACCTTCTCAGGTGAGTTAGCATGGTGGGCAGTAGGGATATTCCTGGAAGCCTATAGCTAGTGAGAGTATGACTCTAGACAGAAATGACTGCAGAACACATACATATATCCCAATATAGAAATACAGCTCTGGTGAACCTTTCTTGGCAACCCCCCACCCTCACCCCCCAGATGCCCACACAGCTAGTTCAACATCACCAGACATGAAGGGAGCGAGGGGAAGTTGGGGTGAAAAGTGATAGTGGTCTTAACCATTTGTACTTAAAACATCCCACTTTTACAAATTTTATTGCAGCCTATTACCATAAGAACACATTGCTAGGGCCCCTTCTGGGTCTTGAAAGAGGCCTGTCCAAGTGAGGAACCTTAAAGCCTAAGTACAATGACTTCCTGGCAAATGTACCTTGGCCTCCATTGCTCTCAGCACCTTCCTAGCCCTCATCCCCTCTCTCCTGGATTATTGCCATCACCTCCTGTTTCTTCCCTACCCCTTTTGGACTGTTCTTAATGCCACGCTCAAGGAAGACCTTAAGTCAGATCATATCACACCTCTGTTAATAGTCCAATGTTTTCTCGTCTCACTTCAAGAAAAAGGCAATAGTCCAGAGAGCCCTGTATCACCAGGCCCTTTGCCTTTCTGACCTCATCTCCTGGTATGCAGTCCTTCCTCACTGCACTCCAGTCTCCTACAGTTTCTGGAATGGTCAGGCATGCTCCCAAGAGGCTCTTGAATTTGCTGTTCATGCAGCCTGAACCATCCCACCCACATATTCACATGCCCCCCTCTCTCACCTCCTTCAGGAAAACCTCGCTTGGCCTTTCTTCACAACTCTCTATTTCTCATCCCTCCTTTGTATTTCTCTGTAGGACATACCACCATCTAAATACCCCACTTGGCTTATTCTTTGTCTCCGTCCTCTACAACGTGCACTCCCTGAGTTTACTTTGTCCAGTGCCATATCCCAGTGCCTAGAACGCAGCCTGACACAATGACTGATTTCTGGTAAACACAGAGGGCTCTGCCTTAAACTTTCCTTTGTCTAGCCCCACAGGAAGCCCACAAGACCACCTTCTGAGAAAGAGCAGGGAAAATACAGTTACTGGAAAGCCAGTTTCCCTAAAAGAGAAGAACAGAGGTGAAGTAGTGACAGGGTTTTCTAGCATGCGAGCAACTTGTTTCTATAAAGAACTGTCATCTTGTGAAGTGAATCACCAGAGGATTTGATCGATGAGCTAGAAATCTCCTGCACCTCCTCCCCCTGCCGCTAAAGATGTGATCCAGGGTCACTGGGGCAGTAACGGGAAAATACCAAACCATATCATTTCTCTTCATGGTTCAAAGGAAAAACTACATAGGAAAAGGAAAGGCAGAAGAAGAAAAGGAGACACTTGAAATGTCTATTCTTGCTTATCTTTCCTTCATTTTCATTGTTCTTTCTCCTTCTGACCTAGAATAAAATGAACCAGAAAATATTACAGAAAGTAGGCTGTTCCTAGAGCATCCCATTTGGCCAAACAGGTGTTGGCAGTCTGATGTGACAAATGAGCTTAGTGTCAGGGAAGGCAGTAGTTAGTGCTTGTAAATATAAAATGTTTTAAGATGTTAACATAATAAAATGTTCTCCAAAAAGTTAAATAAAGGAAAAGGAAAAGGAAAATTACTTATAATCCCACCACCACAGCAGAAAAGCTAGTAGTTTTGTATATTGTCTTCCAGTGTTTTCTCATAGGCGTATACTTTGTCATTGTGGTATAAAAACCCCACAGCATGAAATTTACCATCTGAACCTTTTTTTAATATATTAAAAAAAATTTTTATTGCTTATTATTTTTGGGAGAGAGAGAGAGAGAGAGGGAGGCTGAGAGCAAGCAGGGAAGGGGCAGAGAGAGAGAGACACAGAATTGGAAGCAGGCTCCAGGCTCTGAGCACCTAGGACAGGCCCTACATGGGGCTCGAACTCACAGACCGCGAAGATCATGACCTGAGCTATAGTCGGCTGCCCAACCGACTGAGCCACCCAGGTGCTCCTCATCTGAACCATTTTTAACAATAGTGTTTTACTCACATTTTTATATACATGATATACTTGCACTTTGTGTTATCTGACTTTTTTTCTTATATTACCTATGTCCAATAAATCTTCCATGTGGCAAACTGGTCCACATGCTTGTAATTTTTTTTTTCACATGCTTGTAACTTTAAAGATGCATCCTGTTCTGTCCTATGACTAAAACATATTTTAGTCGGCCATTCTGCAATAATTGGACATTTATGTTGCTTACAATTTTTCTACCTAAAAAAATATGATGAGCTTTCAGAGCATATAGTATTTTCCCCTTTAGTCATTTACAATCATCTTCCTATGATTTTCTAGAAGTTTTCTGAGGAAAATGAAGTCACAGGTGATGATTATTGCATGGTTTCTTTAAAAATTACAATGAATTTATTTTGCGAGTGAAATATGAGGGCACCAATTTCAGCACACTCTCACCAACATTTGATACTTCTAATTTTGCTAATTTAATATTTTTAGATTTTTCTTTTTCTAACGTATATTTTTTCCTGTATCTGTTTTCCTTGAGCATTTCCTCTGATGGGAAATGCCAGTTCATGCCTCTTGTGTAGGTCGGTTTTGAGAGACTGTCTCAGTATTTTTCTTATTCCTTTTCAAGGGCTGTGTATGTAGTAGAGGTTTTAACCCTTTATCATAACTGTAGTGAACATTTCCCCCATCTGTTTGTAATTTATTGTCATGCTGTCATCTATAGCAATTTAGCATTCTTGTACAGTTCAGATCTTTCCAGTGTGATTTCTCCTGTCGCGTTGTCTCAGAAAATTCTCTCCATGTTGTCTCATCCCAGGGCTTTACTAAAGAATTTAATTCTCTGAAACCGACCTGTTCCTTAAATGCTCACTGGTTAACCAAGATCCCTCCTCTATATTTGAGTAACGTAGGCTAGTAGGCCTATGCCTATAGGAAGAGTTCTGGTGTGCTGGGACCCGGATCCAGGCTCCGTGGGGAGCGAGGTGGAGGGCACAGCCGCCGCTGACCCAGGCTGCGGTGTGACTCCGCGGGAACACAAGAGTGGCAATACCCAGAATGAATGATGGGACTGCACCTAAATGTCCGTGCTTTCGCCTTACCCTTTCCCTTCCTAAACAGCATTGGGGAATGAAAGCACTTCTGGAAATTAAAGATCACATGGCCGGTAGGTTTTCCTATCTTGTTAGAGTCCTTATGTTTCCAGAAATGAAGGCTCCCAGTCGACCTACCGCAATGCATTTACTGCGCCCTTGGTGTGCGGAGCCCTGTCCTAGGAACATTGTGTGTATCCGTGTGGTTTGCAAGTAATAATAGCTCCGGGGCAGCCATGAGTTATGTGGCGCGGTGGAAAGGATAAACGGGAGATGAGAAGATAAATCTAGGCGGATAACCGAATGTAGAGATGGCTCCGTTGTGGATTCTTGATGGTATGAGGGATACGGCACGGTCCCGTTGCACCCACCCTCAGTCCTCCCCGCTGCCTTGCACCTCAGCCCTGTGTCCAGTTGGTCGAAGCCCCTGATCCCACAGACAAGATCGTCCTGCCCCCAGCCAGGCAGTCAAGTTCACTCAAGGTGCGTCTCAAAGCTGTTGCCAGGGTCTTAAATCCTGGCGGAGAGCCACGTGCGCGGGACTGCGAGTCAGAAGTGCCCGCCCCCCATCCCTGCTGCTGCCCACGAGCCTGAAGACTTAGGCGACCGCAGTGGGAAGGCACATCTGACCTCCTGGTCCTGGTTCCCACCCGCCCACCTAGGTTCGCAGTTATCTTTCTTTCTCGGTGCAGACCACAAACCCGAAACCGCTTGTTTTGTTCTTTGCTGGGACCAAGAACAGCACTGCTTGACTCTGTATCTTTTCCCTGGCAGGCAGGTGGAGGGGAACGCGCCACACCTCCACCCCGTCCCCAGTTGGGCACTAATCCACTCATGTTAACTTGTAGGCAGAGCATCTGCCACTTTCATCTTGAAAAAGAAAGCATCAGAGGTTCAGATCCCCGAACCTGTCAATAGTGAGGTCCACCGCGGCAGATTCGCTCTCAGTCGCTCTCAGGACAACCTTCTCCCTCCCATCCCACACTGAGGGAATTCACCCTCGGGGCCGCCCGGCCTCGCGCTCTCCCCCAGCCCGGCGGCGCGGGTGAAAAGGGACGCAAATGCCCCCCGCAGACAGGCCCTGGGGTGCCCGCGGCTCTCAGGGTGCGCAGCGGGACCCGGCAAAGCCGGCTGTCCCTCCCCTGGGCTGCGCCTCGCAGGTGAGGGAACGGTGGGTTGAGGAAGGAGTGAGAGTGGCGCCCGCGCGACCGGTCGCCGCGAAGAAAGTCCCGGAGACCGTGATCCCTGCGCGAGGGGGAGGCGGGGCCGGTGCGCAGGCAAATACCGAGATGGGGCCGCTTAACAACCCCGCGCAAGGCCACCCCCTTGTGTTTCGCAGCCCGCGAGGTCCCCGAGAGCGGCCGGAGGACCCCAAAGGCTGCGCTGCGTCTCCCCGACCCCTGGGCGCCGCAGCGTCGCCCCTCGTGGGTGGGCTTCGCTTTCCCTCCCGGGTTTCCAAGCTACCACGTGACTTCCACGAAGTGCCGGGGCCCAGCGGAAAGCCGCCGCAGGGGTGGGATTTGGGACCCCGAGGTGCGGCGAGAGGGCGGGGAGAGGAGGAAACGGGGCGGGGGTGGGGATTCACAGATCGGAAGAG